AAGAAAAAAAAACAATAGATCACCATTTCAAATTATACCACAGAACTTTCCCCTTGAATTTCACTTTAATCCCTGATATATCCATGAGTTCAAATCACACAATGTTATAAATTAATGAAGACATTGAAAATATCAAAAAGGGCTTCAATGATGGTCAGATTGAGAAGGGGCCTCTAAACTATGTTCCCTTGCACCCCACTATGAAAAAAAAACATCCCCTTCTCAACAAAGTACAATTTATGGCAGTCAAAGCAGAAATCTAGGTTACCTCACACAAAAGTATGCAAATAAAGTTCAGTGCTGATAATTTAAATACGTTTGCACCAGTTGAAATTCAAAATGGTACAAAAAGAGCAAACCCGATTTTCCACACGACCTAACATTAAGGTAATTTTAGCTCGCCTAGACTAATTGTATCAGATGACCAAAGTGTGTTCAAAATATCTACTTTATGAAAAGTAGGAAAAAAAAAAAAAAAAAAAAGAAAATCGAGTTACATTCGTATTCCATGTAACACACATGGAATCTGCACAAGTTTACAACTTGGCATTAGCAAAACTTACAATAGCGTCAAAAAATAAAAAATCCCAGTTTTACTTCCAGAACTAAATTTATGATTTCAATTTTTTTCCATCTATATTCATCAGATCTTTGTCTCAATTTACTGTTTAACCAACAAATTATAATAATGCCATAAGTGAAAATAAAAAATAAAAAAATCATCAAATAATGTGAATTTAAAATTGCATTAACTGCTATTCTTGCCAAAGTCAGAATTAGTAGAAGTTAGGAATTTTTATTTTTCTAAAAATAAAAGCACTATTATCTGATCAAAAAAAAAACAAATGTAACTTTCAAGTTTCATTGCAGAATAAAAAAAAAATATGATTGATAAATAATTTGAAAATTCACTGTTTAAGTTTTACTTATTTTGTAAAATCAACAAAGATTATGAGAAAAAAATCACAACTATTTAATTTCATAAAAATCAAAATGCCAATGCTTTATACTCATCTTGAAAAAGTATAAGGATCTGAAATACGAATGAAGAAAACAAATGGCAAGGGAATTTATTTCATGCAAAGACAGGATACCATGCTTTTGGTCTGTGGCTATTTTGACTTTCGAATAACTAAAGACCCTAAGGAAAATCTCAAGTAAAAAGGAAGGTCATGAAGCACCAAAACTCAACCAAAATTAGATCCCCTTTTTAGCAGGCAATCATAATTTAAATCACATTATCAAAAGTAAAAATTTTAAGGTAACCTTAAGCACGAATGTTCTAATTTCAAAATTATACCTGACCCAAGAATAATCTAAATACCTTGTTGGGAACATCTCATTTCAGCAGAGTACATAAAAGCACACACATACAATTATAGTCTGTGATTTAAATTAAAGTAAAGTATGATTTTTATATTGAGTATTAAAATCAAATGATTGGAGAACATTATAAAGATTTCATTTGATTCCAATAATTCTATCATTCAATATCTTCTGAAACTGAAATCTAAATGGAAAAAAAAAAAAAAAAAAAAATTAAAATAAAATCTACTATCTATATTTCTCATGTTGTCTGTCTGTGTGTCTGTCGTGGGCGTTGTTACCTCGCCCAGGCCGCATTTCTCACACAATTTCGATGCGGTTTTCAACACAAGTTTGCAAATGGCTGCCGTAAGGACATGACGGACCCGATTTTTTAGTTTGGAATCAGGTTCCGAAAAAAATCGATAATCGAAAAAATTCTGCTTACAGAAGGAATGATCACATTTCAACCAAATTTGACACCCTCTTAAGAGTCTACCATTAGAAGTGTTGTCCAGAAGTTTCATGACCACGGACCCCTAAACAGCACGGAAAATTGATAAAACCCAAAAACCGATACGCCCAGATTGCGTCTGAACCGCATGTCTGTTTTTAGCAAAAACCGAGCGGATTTATGAAGAGGCCATTGGGAGTCATCATGTGAAGTTTCAACTCTGATCACCCCCCAAACAGAGTGCAAATCGACAATCGGTCAACCCTTAAAATGTTTTTTCCGGTTTTTTAAAGCTGATTGTATTGTGTTCATTTTGTTTAGTTCTTTTTTCGTAACAGATTTAATGTTTACTATAGAGCTTAGAAAAAGTTGGCAGTGTGATATAGGCAAGAAGTAAGGCATGTAACAACATCAGCATGGCAAAGAGTACTCCTCTAAAGGCAAGAAAGGGCAAAAATATTTTAAGTCAAGTGATAGCGTTTGCTGTATTAGTCGTACTATTTTTGAATCAAGCATGGGCAACGCTGGGCCATGCTGCTAGTGTATTATTATTCTGCTTCACAACAATGACAAATTTAAGTTTCTCAGTAGTTCATTTACGCTCATCATATTTCTATACTTTTGGCTTTGTCCTTTAAGATACAATACATTTATGTTTGCTACACAATCCAACATTGAATACAGCAACCTATTGCGTACATGTGTATGCAACGACACATGGATGTGCATATATGCACAGTCCCACACTGTTCATATGGATACGTTTGAGAGCTCCATGAGTGAGCGTGCGTGCGACGTATGTCCCACACTGTTCATATATGTTTAATGTTTTGCTGTCTGCCTACGTCAATGAGTGAGCGTGCGGTCTCCAGTGAATGAGTGAGCGTGCGTGTATGTCGCCTACGCCATGTGAGCGTGCGTACGATGTGTCTGCCTCACGCCAATGAGTGAGCGTCGCGTGTCGCATTATGTCTGCCTACGCCAATGAGTGAGTTCGCCTACGTCAATGAGTGAGCGGGTGTAAAACAATGTGAGCGTGCCGTATGTCTGCGCCAATGAGTGAGCGTGCGTGTACGTATGTCTGCCTACGTCAATGTGAGCGTGCGTCTTTAAAAATAAAATGGTGAGCGTGCGTATGTTTCGTTGTGGTGTCGTGTCGTATATTCGTCATGAGTGAGTTTATGTGCGGTCATTATGTCTTGTGTATGTCATGAGTGCGTGAGTATGTCTACCTAAATCAATAGTCGTAGGGTAGGAATGTCTTTGAGTAATTGCTCAGTCAAATGAGTGAGCGTTTATCAAGTCTACCTAATGAGACGCGTGGTGTCTCAGTAGCCTCGTCAACGAGTGAGTGTCTGCCCTCGGACGTACGTCTCTTGTGGTAACGAGTGGCGTGCCGTCTTTTATTTTGCCAAATGAGTGAAAGGTGCGTTCGTACCCTCTCGTCAATGATTCGGGCCCTACTTATGTCTACGTCAATGAGTGAGCGTGTCCGTCTGCCTCTTCAAAAGTCCTTAAAAATTAATACTGTCGTCAATGAAGTGGCCGAATTTTTGATTTAAATGTCTGCCTACGTTTTTGAGTGAGCGTGCGTGTAAAACATGTCTGCCTACGTCAATGAGTGACGTATGTCGTATGTCTGCCTACGCTAATGAGTGAGCGTTCCAACAATGTCTGCCTACGTTAAGTGGCGCCCAACAACAGTTTTTCCTCCCATTACCATAAACACCGATATACGCAACCATATATAAATCCAAAATTTAAAAATTAATCAGTTTGTCTGACAATCACAAATAGCATGAAACCCATATATATATATATATATATATATATATATATATATAGAGAGAGAGATATGATGATGAAACAAAGGGAAAAGCTCTTATAAACAACTTGTTTCACCAACATCTTTTGGTCTTTACTTCCTCATGTTGGAATGAAAGAAAACTGTATGTAAGAAAAATGTGTTGGAATTTCTGAGTATAAGAGCAGCAATAAATTAAATTGCATCATCAGATCAGACAACCAGAAACCAATGTTTTTATATATATATATATATATATATATATATATATATAAAAAGAGAGAGAGAGAGAGATATGTTGGTGTACTGGATTTTAAATTGGCCCACTGAAATCAGAAAGTGTTTGTTTTCTTTTCTTTATAATTCTTACCTGAAGAAGCCCAGACCTAGAGATATTGATGAAACATGTCATTTATAAGCTTTTCCACTAGTCTCATCATCTCTACTTTTGTTTCAGATACTATTATACATTGTACACACACACACACACGCAAATAATCATGTTAATAGGATATAGAATCCAGAGAAACGGGAAGAAATGAGACAAATTGTAATCTCTTTTTATTGACAATGCCTTTCACCTTTGTTGGTTTCAATTTGAATTTTTCCGAGCCAATAAAACAGGCTGGTTCTCGCTTTCATCTGACTCAGTCCCAGTCTGCCTTGTCTTGAATTCAGAATGCTATGTTCACTTGTTCAAAATTACTCTTGTGTGTCAACTTCAATTCTTAGTTTGTGAACTTTTTGCCATATTACTATTAATTCACCTTGCATTATATTATTTTTGCCTTGTCCTATTTTTCTTCTGCTTATTACAAATTTTGTCAATTCTGTTTGTTGGACAGTTCTGTCATTTTACATTTAACAATGACCACTCACTTCGCAGCCTTTGTTAAGTAGGTGTCTTCAGGCTAGAATGAAAGACAAATCTGTCATTTTTTTTTGTTTTGTTTTTATTTTGTATGAAAAATCATTAATGTCTATATACTCAGTAAGCAGTTTCTGTTTAGGATGAAAAAAAAACTGCATTTTTCATTCCAACCTTAAGGTACCAACCTAGCATACAGACATTAATGGTATATATAATATAAATTTGTCTTCCACCTAACAAAGGCAAAATAAAAAGATTTTCCACTGTCTCATTTCTACACATAAATATACAATTAATTATTATATTAATTAATTATATGCATATATAATTAGATATAATTATACTAAGTATGCGTAAATGTCAGTAAACTATCACTGATAGTTTAAATTTATCTAAAACCTTCACTCTAAATTAAATAATATTAACGCATACCACAAATAAGTTTGTACATCCTTTCAAAACATTAGCCTATTCTATTTTCTATAGAAATAGCAAGTGCCAGAAAAGTATACATGCTTGTGTTAAAAATAATTGAAGAAAAGAAAAGAAAATTAAATGTTACAAACCTGATATCCCCCCATAGAGATGGTAACAGTACAGGTAATGGGTGGGTTGGGTTCATACACTGTATTGGCAAAGGAGAACAGTACCAGTGGAAACCAGATAATGAAAATGATCAGCAACAGGAGCAGACCTCCAACTCCATATTTAATGGTGGATTTCCTCTTTTGTGCACGAGGGGTTGGATAAGTCTGCGCGAAAAAAGAAATAACAATCAACAAGAGATACAGTTAAACGCATATATTTATAATATAAAATAGATGAATGGTCATTAGGAGGATAGTGTTCAATTTATATTATTTGAATATTATTCACTTCTTTCATATAAATGATAAAAAAGCTCCTTTCTATTCAATGTTTTTAAACAAGGTTACATATAAAAAAAAAATGTCATATTGAAAATTTAAAAAAAAAAAAAAATTAAATTGTAAATATTTTATTATAACTTGATATTTCTTGTACATTAATTAATTTCTAATGGAAAATAATCAAGGTTCATTATGTATCAGATTAAATTAGATTTCTAACTCATGGTCAGCTGCTACCAGAAATATTTGTATTACATAATATATGAGTGATATACCCTAAAAAAAATAATCTAACATTAAGCCACAACGTTTTACAGTTATTTATTCAGTATCTAAATCATGAGGCCATATTTTAGGATATTTAATAAGTGATATAGCAAATAAAGAGAAAATTGTACAACACTTTATAATTCCATTAAATATCAAGAAAGAAAGCAATAAGACTAATTCACAAAATGTATAATTTTTGCTAAAGCAATTTTTGTTTTTAAACTTACTGATTTTTTTCCCCAAAATTTTTTTTTTAAATTTAAGCATAAGTCAAAAATAAATTCAATATATAGTTAAAAGTTGATTTAAACTTCTTCAAACTGAGGGCTACCTTTTAATTAAAGAAAAAATACTAGTATCTTCCACATAAGAAAATTCTTTAAATAAAACAGTGCCTTACCACTTCTGCATGTCTCCAACATTTAAGAACAAAGATATTAGCATAAATATCCTCCATTTGTAACCAGCTGGACAGAGCAAGTGTTGTGTCTGTCCACATCCAGTCCATTAGAGCTCGTAACTCCAACAAGAAAGGAATAGCAAGGAAACTGGAAAGAAGAAAAAGAAAAAAGAAAAGAAAAAAATTAAAATCATACATTTTTAAGTTGAAAAATAAAAACAAAATGAGTGAGAAGATAATAAAAATGTAAATACATTCACTTCTACTTGATGTATAACAGTCCACATCTACAAAATAAAATCGTGTATCCATAAGTATATTTTTGTGCAATACTTTTCAGCATGTAAATACAACACTGATCCTAAGCGGAAGTGCTGATTCATACACAGTGTCATGTTTTTATGTGTACTATACAAATAATAAGAGATTAAAATTGTTACAAAACAAATGCAAAAAATGCCTTTGTTTTGTCACCACAAAGTATCTTAATACTTAACATGGCTTTGGTTAACACTAGAGAATGAGTCAAAGTAAAAAATACTGATGAGGGTATTTAACATCAATAACTGGATTTTGATATACGAAACATTCAAAAAGCCAACTACAAACTGAAATAAGGGTTATATATTTTATATATGACATCCAATTATAATTAGTAAATGGGATATTAATAAATTATTGCATTGACAAACAGGTTATGCATTTAGATGTTGCTTCAGCTTCTAAATCAGGGGTTGGCAATCCCTGACCCCTGGGTCACATCCTATCTAATTAATTTGTGGAGCAAGTGCCAGAAAAACATCAGCTGGAGTTAATCACTTTACAATGCAATGAATTTTTAAAATCAAAATTTAATTCCAAATCCACTGCTGACTTCTACAAGAAATGTTTTGCCAAATGGAAAATATAAAGCTTATTGAATAATGTGAAAATGTTGGTATCATTATTTGGAAGTACATATGCTGATGAACAAATTTTTTTGAAAACGAAATATATAAAAAGTCGTTTAAGTACACAGTTGACTGATGACCGCCTGGATGATGCTTTGCTCCTGTCAGCAACAAATATTTCGCCCTGATGTGGAGAAGTTATCAAACAATAAGCAGGAACAAGTGTCTCATTAAATAATTTACAATTTCTAACTATATTCCGTTTGTAGTAAGGAATTTGCATATTTCGTTAAGAGTGTTGTTATCCTGTTATTCCTGCAGTAAAATAAAGAACCATGTTTAAATAATATAACATTAATTTTGTTGAGCTTTTTTTTTAAATGTCCAAACCAAGGCAGACTTAGATCGAGATACTTTATTATAGTACTTTTGATATCATAGTCCTCCTCCGAGATAGTACATAGGTTTCTGGCCCGCCCTCTCCAAAAAAGTTGCAGACCTCTGTTCTAAATGTATAACCTCAGTTTGTCTAGGAAATCTGAATTGCCAATGAAAAAAATATTAGTACGCTTAAAAGAGCTTATCGAGCCAAGGGAGATAACTGCATTTTATTAACACGAGTTTTTTCCCTTGAAATTTTTTTCCAGTTCCTCCTTTTGATGGATTTGGTTGAAATATTTGTATATTTTTCTAAGACTAAAGGTTGCTATTTAACAAGTAAAGGTCACGTTTTTAAAATGAGTTTTCAAGACAGTCAAACACACTAATTATACACCGTGATATGTGGAGATAAAACAAAATGGGGGAAAGCTTCTTTTTTTTTTTTTCTTCTCCTTTCGGCTATGCGAGCCATTTCCTAAGACTGAAATATAAGACAAACCAGAGTTAGAGAAAAAGGGTGTTGGGAAACTGGCAGAGTAACAAAAATCTTCATCAGATGAATTGGTGATTTACATACTGAGACCATTAACGTATGCTGGATTTGAAATCTATCCCAACCCAATCTTTGTTCATTTTGGGGGTTTTTTCTGTCAGGTCATAGTCTACATTGTGCTACAAATAGTTTTGCAATGATGAGTGATATTTTATATGAACCTAATGTAAGGTTTTACAAAGAGCGAAAGGCATAAATGATAGAATCTTTTTTCACTTTATCTCATCTCCACTTTTGTTCAAATATTATTCTATATCCTATTATAAACCATACCATGACATATTTTTAAATATACTTACCCTTTAAAGAGGAACAGGTTAAGGTAGGAGTAGTTCTTGGTTAGGAAATTGCCTAAAATGCGAGTTGGATAACCAGAACGAATCTGGTAAGCAGACAGAGCAAAATAGATGCATTTCACAAAGTACCACAACATAGCAGGTGTGTTTTGAACAAATTGTCTGGAAAAACAATGACAAAAAGAAAAATTAAGAAATTTCCATCATGTTTTAACAATTAAAAGAGCAATACAAATCACACCTAAAACTAAAATAGCACTTTTTTTGTATCAATAATTTACCTATGTAGTTTTAAGAAAAATAAAATTTTCATTATTCTTAGGATAAAACTTAGCATCTAACAATATTCTCAGACTTGATAAAGCTTATAAATTAATAATGAATAAAAAAAAAAAAAAAAACTTTTAAAATAATCTGATAAACCTGCATAATTGACACAATTATAAAATTATATCCACAAGTTAACATACCTTTCTGTGACAGCAGGTAAAATGAAAAAGAGCCAGATGTGTCCAATAATGACCAGGGTCACTTGGAAAATAAATTTTCCCTGGACATATTTGCGAAGAAATAAAGCTCTGTCGATGATGATCAACATGAACTGTACAACCAGCATCACAAGAAATGGAATAGGTACCTAACAATAAAAATTAAGAAACAATAAAAGAATTAATGCCAAATGCAGACAGATAATTGGTCCTTTTATCTTACACTTTACTTATATCAGTTACCTTAACCCCACTAATATTTTCCTTTCTGAACCACCATGAAGTCACAGTTTATTGACTGGAATCTTGTAAGTCATTTATGATCTGAGATTTTTTTTTAAATGAACTTAAAGCATCAATTCATGACATGATAATTGTAATTTCTGTCTTAATTTCTGGGATGAAGAGTTATTATTTACATTATTTTCATGTCGGATAATAGATTAAATAAAGGGTTCATTAAATAAAGGGGTCACTTCAAAATTCCCTGTAGATTACCCGGATCAAGATATAGCTGAAGAAGGCTGAAGTGCCCAATAGTCAAAATGTCATGTTGACAACAAAGAGGAGGACAATGGTCAAAATGTCATGATGACTCAATAATGGTCAAAATGCTGTGATAAAGAGGCTGACAATAGACAGCAGGTAAATAATGATAATTGCTGATTTGAATGTGAAATGATGGGTGAATACTCAGAAAAATGAATGGTATGAGAGGTGGAAGGGAAGGATAGTAGCAAGACAGGATGGAAGAAAGTATCCCAGATTGTTACGATGAACAAAAATGAATGAAAATAAAAGATAAGTGTATTTTAACACATGATAAAATAACTTTTATTCATTTACTGCCTGATAACAGCAAGGATTTGTTTGTATTTAAACCATGAGTTTCATGTGCATGTCAGTTTGTCACCATGTTGAATTCAGAAGTGCAGCAGTTCAACTAGCAGACAAGGGATGTAACTCGATTGCATTTTGAGTTATCCTTTAGTAAGTTTGCACCCCCTAACAGAAAGGATGGAAGAAAGAAAGGAAAGGGAAAGAAAGGAAAGAGAAAGAGGGAAAGAAGAGAAAGGAAGAGAAGGGAAGAGAAAGGAAGAGAAGGGAAGAGAAAGGAAGAAAAAGGAAGAGAAAGAAGAAAAAGGAAGAGAAAGAAGAAAAAGGAAGAGAAAGAAGAAAAAGGAAGAGAAAGAAGAAAAAAGAAGAGAAAGAAGAAAAAAGAAGAGAAAGAAGAAAAAGAAGAAACACTGTTCACTTTCCCCAATATTCCCACTAACTCATACAGATGGAAAGAATGTTTGGTTCTCTGTACCACTTCAGTAACTACCAGACTCCTCCTGTTATGTTCTACCTTTACAAGCACCAGATCAAAGCTAATCTTGATAGCGTCCAAAAGCATCCATCGCCTTGTGGGTGATTCATTATTTTCCACTTTCTTGACTTCAGTCATAACTGGGAATGACTACAAAACTTTTCCTCCTCCCTTTTTATAGGCAGAAGTTCACAAATGCATGCTAGGATTTTTTCTTAGTCTATAAAATAGGTTGGTTCACAATTTGGCTTGATTCAGTCCATATCTGCCTTGTCTATAAGGTAGACCACTGTGTTCGCTTGTCTGACTTTGCTTTCGTGCATATACGCCAATTTGTAGTTTGTAAACTTTTTGCTTATCTTACCTGTAAACTTGCTTTGCATATATTGTTTGCTTGATACTATTTAATTATTGCCCTTTTTCTTTTTATTGCAAAATTTGTTAATTCTCTTTGTTAGGCAGTTCTGTTATTTCTTTTGCATTTCACAATGGCTACAAACTCATCACCCTTTACAACCTCTTGCTTCTCTATAACTATTTCTATGGAAAAATGTTAAATGAGTTCCTTAGTTACCCCAACCCTAACCATTCAAGCTAAGACCCACCCTGCTTCATACATTAAGCCACCAAACCTCATTCCCTTTGTATTTCTTTAGTAAGGAATAAATTCCACTTGGATAGCATCTTCCCAAAAAATGTTACTTTATGAAAGACAATTCCTGGAAGATGCTTTCCCAAACAGTACAATCTTAACCTCTGCAAGTCTAGCATTAATCATTATCGTTCCCACATGTCTGCATAAACTGCAATCTTTGCTCTTACCACTCACACAACTGCCACCTTCGGTAACCCTCTACCCTTGTATAGGGTGAACATTAGTATATTTAAAAAAAAAAAGATATTGTATTCACATGAAGAAGAGAGAAAGAGTGTGCGAGAGAGAAAAAGAGAGAGTGAGCAAGCAATGTCCACTTAAGTGGACAAGTGATTATGAGATCACGTAATTTGGATTAGTTAATTAATTAATAATAAGTGTAAATATAAACAGAATTGGTGTTTGATTTTTTTTCAATTAACTTTAACTACTCTCATCTTGTTTATAGAGGCAGTGATTTTTAGACTGAGAGGCACCAGTGTGTAACAAGGGTGATAGTGACCCACCCATACAAGACAGGGCCCAATAGTGACATGACAGCAGTCAATAGAATTAAATATAAACAGGCTCAGTTTTATGTTATACAATTGGAGGTGAAAGGAAGTGTGAGGCATGGCTTGAATACATTTAACAGTTATTAGAATTAAATGTTAAATGTGGAAAAAGAACTAAGATGTTTTGAGAAATTGGATCAGTTCAGAGATTCTTCAAGAATCAAACCCAAATAATATTTTGGAGATAACTTAGTAACAATATAACTGGGTACAGACATGTACCAACACATGACACTCACCAACTCAGGTGAAGATAATGACAACCAAAATTAGCAGTTTTATTAAAAATCTTAAGTTTTACAGGGGGGGTATCATTATTCCAAGACTGATCAATCTTGAGGATTCATCTACTTTAGTTCTGTAACACATGGCTTGTTCTGGATTACGATATTTCAACCCTGAGCTTGGGACTTCTTCAGAGCTAATCTAAAACTAGATGAGTTGAGGAGTAGTTTATCTAGTACATTGCTACCGACTATATTGTCCATCCCTGGTATAGTATTACATACTGTTACAACCCCACTATTATATGGCTATTGTTATAACACACTTTATATAACCTACTTCATATAAGGATTCTCTATATGTAATGCTTCAGCTACTTGCCATGACACCTGTATTGTTAGACTGAAAACTTACTCCAACCAGCTACCCATCTTACCTCTGACCTGGAGCTCTTTATAGTAATGGACGAGTTCATATAGTCACCAGGGGAGTACTATTTGCTCCGCAACACACATGAAGTGATTGGTTCATACAGCACATGAACAGAAAAGAAGAAATAGGAATGATACTATTGTGTGTGTGTGTGTGTGTGTGTGCGTGTGTGTGTGCGTGCACATGCCTTCTACCACACCTCACATCATTGGTTTATTCGATTATTTATTCTTTTTAAAGATATAGCATTCATAATTTTTTTATTTTTAAAAAATAAAGCATTAGAAAATCAATTGACCAAAATCGCCTGAAGATACCAAAAGATTGAAACCAAGGTAGCAGAATTGGCTGATTTCCTAATTTTCTATAATTAAAAGCTCTACATGTTAAATTTTTATCTTTTTATATGTGTATTGAGCAATTTTTTAATACTACTGTTTCCTGGTCTAATTCAACTCTGACCATTAACTTTATTATTATTATGACCTAAGATGGAACATTGAATCAATAGCTTCATTTACCGCAAGGAAAGTTAGTTCTCTGTGTCATGCCAGAAAGTTTTTCTTCCCCAAGTCAATCCTTCAAATCTATAAATCAACCATTCGCCCTTGTTTGGAATACTGCTGCCATATATGTTCTGGAGCTCCTGCTGTTCATCTCAAGGTCCTTGACAAAGTCCAGAGATGGATATGCAATGTAGTTGGTCCTGGACTGGCACCTCACCTACAGTCACTTTCTCACAGACGTGCCGTCACTTTCCTCTGTCTTTTCTACAAGTACTTTCGTGGTAACTGCTCCAACAAGCTATTTTCGCTGGTTCCCAAACTGCATGAATTTAAGCATATTACTAGATTGGCATCTCAGTCCCACCCTTTCACTGTCGAAACAGTTAAATGTAGCCATCTCTTCTACTCGAATAGCTTCATGTATCGCACTTCCTGTCTGTGGAACTCCCTTCCTCTTACTTGCTTCTTCCATGACAGTTATAGTCTTCAAATATTCAAATGTAATGCCAATCAACATCTCCAGATGTCTTGATCTAATTCCCCATCCTTCTCTTTATCCTTTCCTCAATTAAGGTCTCTTTACTCTTGCTCCCACTCTCTGTAACCCCTTGTGTGCTTGTGGCACTCCCACCTTGCTTGGGGTGAAAAAAAAAAAAAAAAAAAAAAAAAAAAAAAAAAAAAAAAAAGGTGTATGTAGTTTTATCAAATTGTGATAACACTGCTTACTGTAGTATGATATTTTCTTGACAGATGGCATTATATTGATAGCCCTTAGAAAAGAAATTGAAAATTTGTGTACAGCAATCCCACTGGAAACTTTGTCCAACATTGTCCAAGCAATAGTTTGCTGTACTAATAAATGTCTGGAAACTAAAGGCTACCATTTTGAGCATTTCTTGTGATTGTAAAGACCAAAGGTAATCTGTATTAATCTCTGAATAAATTTAGTATTAGAATATTTATACAAGTTTTTTCTTTCCTGAGGTATGTACACATTTTGGCGGGGTGGGGGGACTCAGTATATATGAGAGAGAGATATAGAGTAGAACTCAAATTCTGCTTCCGAGTTGTGTGCTTCATCAGTAAACCAAAATCGTTTCCCTTTCTTTTAATTCACTAGAACTGAGTAATTGAAATTTTCATGCCCTCAATCCTCGGTTGATTTATTGTTTATTTACTTATTTTTTTTTGCATATACTTACTGAGGAGGTCCCACTTACAAATATAGACAATTTTTTTTTTTCTATTTAGTGCCAAAATTTTTAAAAAATGGCTTGATTGATGATAAATGCATAGAAAAAATTAATTTAATATAAACAAAAAATCTTTTGAGCAATCTGATGCAATTGTAGGAATTTTCACCATTAATTATTCTATAGAAACAAATTGGCTGCTCTCTGTTATACTAAGAATCTGAGCCATTCATAAAGACATGATTTAAAACCTATTATACCTGAAATTGTTTGATGGATAGTCACAATTAAATCAATCTCTTAGCTACACAAAGCCAAAAATATACTCACCCTGTTCTCTTGGATATATGTTGTTACATCTCCACCACTTGATTGCTATAAGATAAAAATTAGTTAATTTTATCAATAAATATAATTATATATAAGAAAAAGTTTTTTTTAAGATTCTATACAAGTTTGACATGTTTCATTATTAGCTTCCCCACAGCCCAGATGCTGGTAGTTGCTCTGATCAGAATTCATCTTTGAAATCTATTTCACTGAAAATATTCAATGTTTTTTTTTATGTTTTATTTTGTAATAGGTCAGTGGCCCTGATGGAGTCATAATAATACATGAAATGTCATTTAGGGACTTGAGTTAAGAAGCTAAAAATTCTAGCTGAAGGAATAAAAATACCAAGTGGAGAAAATTATAGAAGCCTAGTTAATCAGATTGAAACCTGACAGAAGAAGGTTTGGTTTAAACCAGAACCTATAAAATGCTTAGAATAGTAGTGGTAGGAATTGAAACCAAAATGAACCTAAAAAGATTTAGTAAATTCAGTAGATTTCAATTTTCTCTGTCATACCCAAGAAAATTGCATTGACAAGATTAATGTGTTTACAAAAATTCTGCAAAACCAAGATGAATTTGAGAAATGTTTATTTAGCATACAATCCAGCTAGAATCACATGGATTCCTTACTGTTATATACCATACCTATGAACAATAATGGGTATGACCCAATCCTCATAAATATGCTGGACACTATTGCAAGTGGGGGTAATATGCTAAGTAGTCCACCACTAGCAGTGGTTTACCTACTTCATGCCACTGGCAAGTATTTTATTTTGTTGATGCTATAAAGATTAGCATTTCATTTCCAACCTCCATTTTGGTTATTCTTCATCCAGTAACCTTTTCTAGGTTACAACACTAACCAAAATGTGTGAACCAGAATCTGACCTAACATATGTGTAAACACACCATGTTTGATCCAAAGTACTTTTGAGCCATAGTCATATATGAAGCTAACTGGAAGTTTTGTGTTTGGAGATAATATCCATCAAAGTCACTCTCCTAAATAACTATATAAGACAAAGGATATAGTTGCATAGTTTGTGCACAGAGTTCATGCAGGGATTTCAGAAAGAGTCATGCAAAGAGATCACATTTTGCCCACTTGGCACAACAGTTTGCATGATTTTTGCTGCCTGTGTGTGCTGTCTCTCCATCTTTCTATTTTCCTATTCATAAACCAAAAGAAATCCCAACAGAGACAAACGTCTAACTTAGCATTTAACTTTTTCTCTATACTTCAAGGCCCTAGTAGAAATTCAACCAAGAGTAACTGTAACCTTTTGACGGCCTGTAGCACTAAGATGTTTGCAACTTTTACATTGGCTCTCATTTTTTTCTAATTATAATCTTTTTTGCCTTCAAGAATATCTCTAGTCAAAAGAAAACCATGGCTCACTGAAATGTACAAAAGAATGTGTCAAAAATCACATCCCAGTAAGTACACATTGGCAAGACACTATACAACTGTATTCAGAGACAGGTGAAAATATCAAACAGATGAAAAACACCCACACTAGCAAAACATTACACCTCACTTGGTATTTGGTACCAGTGACAATAAGAAGTACTATTTGGCATGACAACTGTATGTGGGTGTATACTTAGTGCCACAACCAAGTGTATGCGTATAACTTGAAACATTTCCAAATTTCTCTAAATGTGTATGATTCAACATTTTAAGCTGTTTATTTTTCCATTTCTATTCAATAATAATATCAAACAACAAAACAGAATTGAAATAGAATCTAGTTGAAGAAAGCAAAAAAAAAAAGATACTTACAACTGGTCCAAATGCCCAATAGCCAAACACAACAATGAGAAAAGCTAAAAAGTCACATGCAAACATTGGGGCATAGACATCAACCACGGCATTGTATGTTGAGTTGGTCATCTGGCGGTAAAAATTCTGGAAAGGCTGCAAGCAGGACACAACACTGTAAAAAAAAAAAAGATAAGTTAGAAATCCTGTAAAGAGATTTCACCTAACATTTATTTTAAGTGGATTCAGAATCTTTATCAACAAGTTTGAATTAGTGAGTAAATAGTATAAGAAATTTAATAAGCTGTAGCTTAAAATTTGAATCAAATTGGGTCATTTTACCAAAATTTATCCTATTAATGTTCTTGAGAATAGTTCATTAATGGTTTCGATTTGAGCAAATGAAATCCAAAAGTCAAATTTACAAAAAGTCAAATGAACAAACATGGAAAGCAGGTGTGCATGTAAGCTTCAACATAAACTTGATAAATACTTCCTGAGAAACATCTTCAGTGAATTGCCTAAATGATTCTATAGAAAGACTTTCTACATAATCAGATGATGCCAAAGTTAATAAATGACCTGAGTAAGCATCACATGTTCAATGTTCAACAAACCTTTGTTTAAAATATCAGAAACCTTTCTACAGAAAACATTACTAAAGTAAGCATCTTGTTATAAGTATTTCTGAGAAAGTTTTTCTAAGTTTAAGACAAACAATTTATGCATACAACACATACTGCTTCTTTATGTTCATTAAAATTCTAAATTTATAACAAAATATCTGGTTTTATAAAATCCACATCAAATTCAAAGACGATGTGGAAAGTCAAGTGGGAGGGGTGAAAATTTAACCTTGTAAAAATCTACTTGTCCACAAAGAAAAACAAAAGAAAAAAAAAAAATTTCAGAAATTGTTACGGCGTTTTACAATTTTTTTTAGTTCAGTTTTTTATGAAGACTGTTTTTGTAGAACAGGAAATTGACTAGACACATGAAGATTTCTTACCAATTCTTCTTACTATGTCATCTCAGACTGTTACATCTATCTCCTACTTGATATATTGTCCTTTGATTTATACCTAATGCATGGAAATAATTATAAACACAAAATGAACACAAATATCTAACAGAAAAATGTTCCGCTCAATTTGAATGTGTGCTACATGAAGAGTATGAATTTAACAATAACCATAGATGCTTAAAAGCTGAAACTTGGCAGATTAATAATCTAATATGTATTTTAAATATTGTGTAAATTTTATCTTTCTCTGAAAATTATAATTAAATTTTAAGTTTGTATCCACTCAGAGAGAGATCATATCTTATTAATAATTTTCAATAAAAAGGTTTTTATTTTATCTGAAATTGATTAATTAATAGAATATGTTCTAATAAAGTATCCATCATAATTTGAATCTGTATAATTTGTTTGACCAAATCTTAATTTATATAGATTTTTAAAGTTTTTCTTCACAAATACCAAATATATCCAAAATAGTCTAAATGTATAATAAAAATTTTTAATACTAAAAACTTAATTATAAAGAATCACAAGTTTATATGGGCAATTTTAAACATTGTTTTTTAATTACATTTCACTAAATATTTTCAGTAGTGGTAAGCATAGGAGTTTTGATTTTTCTTTTCAAGGTTTATTTGCAAAGTTAAACTTAAATTTTTGTTACGAATAAAAGTAAACATTTATTGAAATATAAAATGAGTCTTTTTCTGTTAGTCTCCACCAAACTGTGTCAGTTAATAAAGTTACATTTTTTATAGCAAAAAATAAAAAATTCCCCCTCACCGAAATCCTATAAAAACAAATCCCCCACCCACACACACAAAATCTAAAAAAGAGAAAAAAAAAAAAAAAATTAAATTTTTAAAAAAATTAAATTAAAGAAAAAAAAAAAATTAAATTTTTAAAAAATTAAATTAAAGAAATAATAATAAAAAAAAAATTAAATTTTTAAAAAATTGAATTAAAGAAATAATAAAAAAAAAAAAAAAAAAAGAATGGGAGGGGTAAACATACTGGGCATTTTTAGTCCCAAACCTAAAGAGAGGAGGAAAAAAAAAAAAAAATGAATTAACAATTCCTATTGATTATGAAAACCTTGTTTTATAGAGACTAACAAGAATTCTCAAAATGCTATTTCCTATTTTTTTTTTTTTTCAAACTTTTGACAGCATTAGACTCTTTGGACAAAGCTACAAAACTCTGAAAATTTGATGTTAAACCCAGTTAAAATGATAGACAAGACCATTTGAGAGAAAGATTGAAATATTTGACTCACCAAGAACAAATTTATGTTAAAATTTGACCCCAAATTAACACCACCAAATTATGTTTCTAATTGATGAGAAAAAGAAAATGTAATTTTTTTTTTTTTCCTTTTTAAAGCTTCTAGATTTTTAAATTTTGACATTAGCTTTTCATGAGTACTAATGAAAGTCTTTACCAAATTATATGCCAGCCCTATATATTTTCAATTGCAGGCACAAATATAGACAACCATGTATCTGATACCATTTTACCAGATGACTCAAATATTTTTCTGACCCAAATCCCAAAATGAACATAATCCTTTTATTTTTTTTATTTTTTCATTAACAAAATTATACACAAAGCAAATGGTTTTATTACAGAATAACTCTTGATTACCTGCTAAGAAACATGAAAGTTGAATGATTAGTTGGATTGTTGGATATTAATTCAAACACTAAGGTAGCAAGAGAGAATGAGATATTAAACTGAATAGATACATGAAGTAACATACAATTTAGACATTTCAAGGTATAATGACCTTGAATTTTGACTTTGTAGGGAGGTTTCATATTAAAAAAAAAAAAAAAAAAAAAAAATTTTTAAAATTAAAAAAAAAAAAAAAAAAAAAAATAACTCATAATACACAGCATTATTTCATCGGCATTCCTGTTTGGCCAAATTGGAGATTGTTGAGAAGAAAGGAAGAAATAAAAGTCAAAACATGCAGATTATATTTGGAAGGCGAAAAGGGAAAAAAATAACACAAGTGAAGAGAGTTTGGTAATGAAGGTTCATTTTTAATAATATAAATTTATAAGAAAATTTCAAATTTCTACTTAATTTATACAAATTTGTGTTTAAAATTTTCATTGATATCATATAGAAATTATACCTAAATAACTCAACTAATGTTGATGATGAAAAACATTTGGAAATAAAAAATTCAGAATAAAATATGAAGATGTATTTTCGCAGCAAGAATTCAAAGTGGAATATCTAACATCCAAAACCCTTTTTCTTAAATGTGCAGAAGTTCAAATTAGCATCCAATTCTCTGCATAAATGGTAAAAGAAGGTTAAATCTTTCTGAGTATGGAAACAAATAATAGGTTATGGCTTATGAGAGATTTGCCAAAAGCACAATGCTAATAGCCACAAAAGGAAGATAAAAGTAAACTTAGCTTAACTTCCTTCTGATAAACAAGGAAATTATAAATTATCAGGTTTAGTTATATTGAAAAGAAAACAAGCCATTTTAAGAAAACTTATGAATGTATTGATCCAATTTATTGATACACATTGTTAGTGATGATTTTGTACTAAGCTCTCAAATAAACTAAAACCAGTACTAAGAAATAATTTATGTCAAAGGATGAGCAATCAGTCAAGATGGATACTTTAGGACTGAAAAACAGTGACAAATAAGGTAATCAAAAAGTCCTTGCCATTTTTTACATTGTGTAGTAAGTGATCAATGATATACAAATGAGCATGTCAGGTGTCAGAAAATCAGTGGGAGTAGGTGCATTGTTCTTGAAAAATGCAGGTGCATCACACAGACACACACACATCAGTCATAACTAGATTAGCAGCAAAGAAACGGTGATGTTGAAGAAGCATGTTTGAGGTTGTCTGCTTTATGACTTTAAGGTGGGCTTGTCCACAGCCACATTAAGTCTCCGAATATGTCAAGTCTGGGATAATGCTGTGAGTAAACACACCAACAAGCACTGGACCCAGAAGTTCAAGTCAGGAGATCTATTCCTTTGTCAGGAAACCCTCAATGGCCAGCCATAGGTTCTGTATGATAATGCTTTGAAGATGATCATATAGGACAACATATGGCATGGTTGGTCAGGAATACCATATGGCAACTTGGCTGGGAGACACTGTGCCAAGGACCTTGTGCCAACAGATTATCACCTCTTTCATTTCCTGGACAACCACCTTTGTGGGAAATCCTTCACAATTGAGGTAGACTTGCAGCAGGCACTGACAGACTTCTTTGCATCCAAGACAAGATTTTTTTACTGCCAGGGTATTGTGCAGCTGGAGGCACATTGGCAAAAGGTTATCGATGCCGATAGGGATCAATTTGAGGACTAAGGGTATGTGAAATTTACTGTATATCTTTTTTTTCTAATTAACCATAAAAACAAGGACTTTTTGCTTACTTTTGGCATGGTTGGTCAGGAATATCATATGGCAACTTGAATATGAAAAAAATGTCAACCTCCATAAGTTCTCTGCAATTTAGTCTAATCTTAAAATGATCAATACCTCTTGAGTATTAATGATTAAAGATACTATGTTTTGCATATCTCTCTGCATAGTAGTAGTTGTAGTACAGTTCTCTGTGTCCTGAATAGCAACCAGGTTTACTAGGCATAGCCACCCTTTGTTCACTAGTTGTTCTCTATTTATAGTTGTCTATCTAATTTGCATATGATACTACAAAAGGGTTTTAAACTTTGCTGGTTAATTTTACTTAGTATCAAAGTAAGGTTCTAAAATAAGATGAAAAGCCAAAGAAATTGCAGTTAAATTTTTATGCAAGTTTTGAAAAGATCTTAGAGTGCTCCAGAAGATTACAATCAAGGTACGTTTTAAGAGATGAGAGAAAAGATGGTAGACTTGAGAAAGCAATGAAAAGCAATTTATCTAAAGATGCAAAAAGAAAGTCAGTGAAATAGAACAGCTGCCAATTTACAACTTTCTTTTGACAATATAATGACAAAATTCCTTTGGAGGGGAAAATAATATTAAAACTATGTCTTTAACTTGAATCATGATAAGTAAATCTGTAACAATCTTCTATTACGGTTAGAAAATGAAGATCAGAAATTGAATGGAAATTGAAAATCAATGCTTATTTGATTCTACAATACAAAGTATCATTATTT